GGACTCCGCGCGCAGCCCTGTGCCCTCCGCCCTACCCCCCCCCCAGGTCATTTCCCTGCCGCAGTCGACCGCGCCGTTGTCGCCCTGCCGTGGTCGCCATCGTCATCCTTTGCCCTGCTGAGTCGTCGTCACCATGCCACCCTCAGGCCGCGCCATCATCGTCGTTGTCAAGCCACGCCATCCTCCTCGTCCCCGAGGAAGAGTGCTTGTGCCGCCATCACCCACTCAGGGAAGTTTGTTTTTTCTTCTTCTTCTTTTTGTTCTTCTCTTCTTCTTCTTCTTCTTCTTCTTCTTCTTCTTCTTCTTCTTCTTCTTCTTCTTTTCTTCTTCTTCGTTTCGTCTCATTCTTCTTCCTCTTCTTCTTCTCCTCCATTTCGTCGTGTTCTTTTCTTTCTTCGTCATTTCTTCGTCGTCTTCTTTTTCTTCTTTGTCGTTTCTTCTTCTTCTATATCTTCTTATTCTTCATCGTTTCTTCTTAAAGTTTCCTTTCTTCTTCATCATCTTCCTCTTCCTCCTCTCCTTGCTCTATTCAGTTCGTCTTGGACGCCATAGTCTTCTTCTTCTTCTTTCTTTCTTCTTCTTCATTAGACTTGTGCTCCTAGTAGCCTCCTACCTCCTCCTACCTCCTACCTCTGTTCGAGTTCTGCTCCTACCTCCTCGTACCTCCCGCCATAGTCCTCCATCCTTCCTCCCGCCATAGTCCTCCCTTCTCCATCCCGCTCTAGTCATCCCTCACACCATAGCCTTCCTCCTCCCTCCCGGCACAGTCCTCCCTCCTCCATCCCGCTTTTGTCATCCCTTACACCATAGCCTTCCTCCTCCCTYCCGCCACAGTCCTCCCTCCTCCATCCCGCTGTTGTCATCCCTTACACCATAGCCTTCCTCCTCCCTCCCGCCAGAGTGCCTCCCTCCTCCTTCCTGCCATAGTCCTCCCTCCTCCCTCCCGCCAGATCACCTCCCTCCCTGGCCACCATATCTCCTCTCCCCTTCCTCCCTCCTCCCTCCTTAGACGTGGCACCCGTCCCTCCTCCCTCCTGCCAGATCGCCTCCCTCCCTCCCTGTCCACCATAACTTCCCTTCTCCCTCCTCCCTCCTCCCTCCTCCCTCCTTAGACGTGGCACACGTCCCTCCTCCTCCCTCCTGCCAGATCGCCTCCCTCCCTCCCTGTCCGCCATAACTTCCCTTCTCCCTCCTCCCTCTTCCCTCCTTCCACGTGGCACCCTCCCTCCTCCTCCCTCCCTGCAGGTCAGACAACCCATAATCCACCCCGCTCCTGCACCCCGTCCCCTCACCCACCCCAAAACACACAAACTCATATGCACGAAAATTCAAAATGAGGCCGGATTTGGGCAGTACTAGGAAAGCGCAGCAAGGTGCTGCATCCCTACCCGGGCGAGGCGCCCGGGGCACCCGGCCGTGCGCCCCGGGAAAGCTAGTCCACAAAATTATTTTCAACATAATGTTTGAGTGTAACACATTACCGTATGAGAAGAGGACGTCAAAATATATAATTAATATATATGCTTCCCCGAGTAGAAAGGAGCTGGGACCATGAGGCCCTGATTTCTCCCCCCCCCCTTTTTCCAAACATCTGTATGCAAAAGTGAAAGCAGGTGCACAGAAAAGTGGAAAGGCAGCAACTACAGGCAAAGAGTTAATCGAGATGCACAGAAAACGAGAAAGGCGATATGGGAAAAAAATGAATAAATTGATTTAATAAATCACAAATCAGGGCAATCAATCAAGATGCACAGAATACTGGAAAGGCGATATGGAAAAGAATTTTTTTTTTGAGTCAATCAAATGATCAATCATAAGTCAGAGTTTAAAAAGTGATCCTTTACCAAGCCCTTGCAACTGCATGGTAACCACTAGTTCTGGTTAGCGGTGGTTTAATTTCCCAGTCTCCATGCAGACTAAACCCTTACCCTAAACCTTAGACCCTCCCAAAGAATATGCATGCTGTTCAAGTTCCTGCGCACTTTTGATGTGGCTATTGGAGTCGAACAGTTGAGAAAGAGAGCGCGGAGCTAACACCAGCAAGGACCCAGAATCAACCGTACGCAAAAACACAGGCACGCTGCGAGTAGCAGAATACCAAAACATGTGTAGCTCGGAAACAAACTCATCGATAAATTGAAAGAGGCAAATACATGAGTTACCATAGCCTTAGCTATGGAGTACGAACCACCGCCCTCACGGACAGCAGTAAATCTGGCGTCCCTCAACCGGTTTCGGCCAGAGCCAGCATCCAGCCTCGTCAGGAAAGAAAGTTCCGAGATGCGAGATGAGTAACTTCTAGCTCTTAAATCCTAAAAATCTCCCGTATGGCTGCCGGTAAATGATCCTCCTGGAAAAAAATTATTTACGTCTTCAAGCGAAAAAACGTTTTCACAAGATTTCCAGACGACATGCCGGCGTTCCGAGGAGAGCTCCTACTTCAAAAAAATCCCGGATAGCCTCGCTACTTCAAAAAATGGCGAGGAATTAAAAAGGCCAAAGAAATTAAAAAATTAGAAAAACCGAACGAACCATAAAATAAAATAAAATGAAACAAACGAGCCAAGAACCCGAGCCATAAAAAAACAAAACAAGATAGGATTGCTGAAGACAGAATGTCTTGCTTCAAATCGTGTCGGAAATCTTCTCTGAAGTCCATATCAGAAGTCCCCCGTGGGGAAAAAAAAAAAAAAAAAACCGTCCGCAGGGATTTCTTTTTTCCTTACCTCAGCAGAAAAAAAATTCTCAGTAATTCTGCTGGATTTCCTGAGACCGGTAACGCGTTTTATATTTACGTGCAGCCTTCACACAGTTCTCCTGGGATCTGGTACCACGTTGACTATCCTCTGTTTGGCACTTCGGTAGCTCATTTGGAATATCTTTTTCACGTCTGTCTTTATCGATCCGAAGAAAACTAAGAAGGTCCAAAAAAAATTTAGAAGATCCAAAAGACCCACCTTTAGAGGTTACCTGTTTGTCATCCTATTTTTTCAATGTCATAAGGCGTTCGGATACGATGTGATTCTCTGTCTCTTGGAATATATTGCATTTCTCTGCATCTCGTACGTAGTCCGTCATAAAAATGAGATAATAAATATATACATCTTCTTTATTTCTCTAAGGCCTAGGATCAGTGGCCTCCGCTTACCTTTTTTCAGTTACCATCCGCAGTATTTGTTTCCCCAAACGCTCCAAGACGGCGCTCGTTTATGAATGAACTTTTTCAAGGAGCTATTGAAGTATTTTCCCGGGTAATTTTGCAGTCGCAGCATTCTCTTCAGCGTAAGCAGTCCTAGACCTAATAGTTTCACGTCAGAAGTCATTCTGTATATACGATGGGGACAACATATAATAATCGCTTTCTTCTGGGAAATAGCTGAGTAGGATTTAAAATCCTGGATAGTTCTAAACGGAAGCTTTCCGTCTTCCCAAATTTCCTTGGAGTCTCTTTCAACTAACTGGGTGGTTACTTTCCTCCCTCCATCCACTCTGATCTTAGTTCCCAGAAAGTCCCACTCACCTTATTCTTGTCAGTTCGTTCTAACGTCAGTGCCTTATCATAGGCAGATTGATATCTTTTTGTAGATATCAATTGCCTTTCCGTCGTCTTCCAAGGCGAACAGGCCTTGTGCATCTCTTCACGTTGCATTTCTCAAATCAGGAAAAAAAAAAGAAAAGGGACCTTGAAGCTGCACACATTCTCAAAAAATACTAAACCCTAAACTCTAAGCCCTCCAAAGGAAAAGGCTTGTTGCAGACATTCTCAAAAAAAAAAAGTAAACCCTAAACCCTCCAAAGGAGAAGGCTTGCCGCCAAAAACTCCGTTTGTGTACTGCCGCTGTGACTATCAGAGGTGACCTGCCCGATCTTGTATGTCTCTCCACATCAGATCTGATTTGTAAGTTCCCGTTCAAAACCGGACAAGGACCGTCTAAATTGTACACACTCTCCACGTCAGAGTACGGTCCCTAATCCGATATATGAAACGCACCATAGCCTTTTGAAGACAGTTTGCATCCGAACTGTGTTTTTGATTTCCATATCGAGTTTTGAGTGGGCGCTGTACGCCAGTGTGAATCGCCATCTGTTTGCATGTATGCGAAGTGGAAAGAAAGCGAGTCTGATTGCATATATTTGCAAGAGGACTGATGACAGTGAGGGCGTTGACTGAATACTATTGGTAAGCTAGGCTATCAGCCGGGTCACCTTGTTTGCCCGGTCTGCCCGGCCGCGCAAGGACCATAGAAGGTCCCAGCAAAAAAAAAAAAGAAAAAAAAAGAAAAAGAAAAAAAACTGGAAAAAAAAATGTTATGCAGAATAACTGCAGAACTATTGCCTCGGGTCACATCAAAATTCTTTACCAAATTTTTAACCATAACCCACTTCCTAAACCCTGAGTTAACCATACGGCAACACCACTTCGACCTTCCCGCCGAAAAAAAAAAAAAAAAAAAAAAAAAAAAAGATGTTTGATGACAACTTGAACGTTCTGATCTGCACCTCTACCTTGTCTTTCCAATCCTTGGCCAGCGCAATGGAAGCCTTCAAACTCGCTTCAGCAGTTGAAAGATAATTGGGCCAGACGACATGGGTGGGCGGTTAAACTATTAATCAGACAACACCTGTTCCAGCGGGGGAGACGGCACAGAGCAACGGAAGCCTTCAAACTACCTTTTTTTTCTGCAGTTTCTCGACTATGTTCTCCAGTAGTAATCCTATAATATTCTTCCTCTTCTGCACATAAGTGTTCTCCGGATACCAATGATGTTTTTAGGACTCTTTACAAGTGCCATACAAGCACTCATTTTTGCTACTTTAGCAGCGCTTCAAACTCCGTTTTCCCTTTTGTAGCCATCGATTTATACGGAGGGAGGAGTAGGCACAGCAAACTTCCCAATAAAACGTAGGCAGAAAGTGGGATCTGTACATCCATACATGTGACTTCGAATGAACAGACGATCATGTGTTCAAAATTCGAATCCTGATGACAAGATTAGATG